TGTTGTTGTTGTTGTTGTTGTTGTTGTTGTTCATGGTCCAACTTTTCAAAAGATTTCCAGATCCCCTTTCCCTTATTATAATGAATGGAATGTGTTGTTTGTTATACGCAGAGTGAGGGAGCAATATACTTGTTTTGCTTGTTGCAGTACAACCCTTTTTTGCTATTTTGAAAACAATTTTAGATGCTGCTATTATAGTGCTGTTCCTCCAAAACCACTCAGTCAATCAATCCACAACTTCCGGATCCTTTTGCCCTTAATGCAAGGATTAGATTGCTTGTCTTGTGAGTGCAATTGGTTGGATATTGACGAAGAACTAAAGAGGTGACAGCTTGCTATGCTGGAGGTTGTGTTAATGAGTTTTCTTGGAAATTCAGTGTGCAGAGTATTCAACAATCCCCATCTGGTTCTCATCAAAATTCACATAGCAATATGCACATGCTTGTGAAGAGAAAAGAAAACCCTTTCCGACTGACAGATTCTCTTATTCTGATTGGTGCTTTGCTAGCATTAACAAGCAAGCAAAGATAGCTAGAAACTGGTGTGTTTTATGTTCAAAATCAATAGTCTTATTTCACACTCATACTCATACTACGGGAGAATTCTCCACAAACTGTATGTGGTCACATGGCGAATGGTGCAATAGAAAATTAGCATTAAAGAATCCGCTTTATGGTGAACAGCTACCAACTCCTTTAAGTCAGTTCCAGTGATGTTGCTCAGAGCGCCTCTGTGTGTCAAAAGTCTGTTGGGCACACCAAATTTAAGAAGATAAGAAAGGCGTGAACTGTCTGGTAGCTAACCAGTTTCATAACGAATACAGATTATTCCTAACAATGAAAGGAAAAAGAAAGAGAATAAAAGTGCTGGGAGCATAAATAAAGTTTATTTACCGAAAACATAAATTTATGTAAATATGACACACAAATTGATACAATTAATTCTAATATTTATTTGACATGAATACAGAACTTCGAATTTATCGAGCAGCATTGCGTTTCCCAATTTCTTCCAACAATATTATGCAGCCGCCATTGTTTAGTCGTCCTCGTCGTCAAAACACCCACTTACTATCTCGTCCATCATAGAAGGATCCAATGCGCCAAAGATAGAACTCTGTCTTCTCTTCGCTCCTCCACCCATGGAGAAGGAAGAAAAATTCATATTGCCGTTGCTGTTGTAATTCACCCCATTCGTATTATTTGCGTTGTTAGGTTGCTGAAACTGCTGATGCAATTGTTGTTGGCTGTTCCTCATTGCAACCTTCTCGAGTCGGTTAGCTACCTGTTGCCGTGCCTTTTGTTTCTGAAGACTCTTGATCGCTGCAGACCTCAAATCATCTATTCCCGACAAACCTACTGGTGGCTCGATATTGGGCAAGGTCTTCGATTGTGTAAGATTGGGAACGACGGAAGAAGACAATTGTCGTCGAAGAATCTTCTTTGTATCGTTCGATATCATACCAGTGTTACCAACCGGAAGAGAGGAAGCTGAAGCGTGTCTCATCGCGTTCATAGTGTCTTGCCTAAACCGGTTGGCATCGTTCATGTCATTCATGACATTCGTAAAACTTCCAGAAAGGCTTTCAGAACTGCTAATGTTCATCTTTCCGAGAGCATGGATGCCGGAGTTACGCCCCATAAGTTGAGATCCACTGAGCCGAGATGAAACAGTATTCGACGGAATGTTTATTGCAGGGGAAGATGATTGCGAAAAGAGATTCTGACCCGACCTCATATCAAATATGTTTCGAAGGGATCGTTTGGCATCTGCGTTGTCAAGCAATTCGTAGGAGCCACCAATCGATTCAGTGAGAAATCTTCCCTTCCAAAAAGAATTGACTGTTTGTATTACTTCGTCCAGAATTGCTTCTTTTTGTCGATCATTGGCTAGTTGATACTTCCCTGACTGCATTGCAACAAGAATGTGAAGGCGATTGTTTCCAATGCTTTGACAATTTGGGTCCAATGCTTTGCGATTAGATGTTAGGATGACATCCATTCGATTCAATGAAACAACTCCGTTCGCAGTCAGCTGGCGACTTGAAGACCAGATCGGTTCTTCCTTACTCATTCTGCGGTCTTGCCCAAACTTCTCTTGCCTCTGGTTTTGAAGTTGATGATCATATCTAAGGACTTTCTTTGAATCGTTCAAAAAACTATCCGATGTGGATCGACGCAAAAGAGATGATCTGCGTCTACGCTTATGCTCTTCTGCCTCGTTATTTCCGTTACTATTGCTGTTACATTGTTCCACCCCTTGGTGTTCTTGAATTTGGTGCTGTTGGCGGAGGTATGACGCTGGAGGAAGGACACCAAACAACATACCATGAATAAGCTGCTTTGATTGGTATTCCCCCATGAGGTTCCAAATAGCATCATTCGGGTTCGATGCTGAGTTGATTAGAAATCGTCCTGTAGGAACACATTTTGTATTGAGTGTGTGGAGGATTTCGTCTACAATTGATTCGCAGCGCGCAATATCATTGTGTCGACGTGCTCGATCGTAATCTTGTTCGTACAAAGTTAGAAAGACTTTCAATCGGTTGTTTCCAACATTTTTACTATAATTGTCGAGTTGGTACTCTCCTACTACACCTTCTACCGATGGGTCTACCAAAACGTCGTAGCTGGTGATATTTGTGACGGTCTCGTTCTGCATGCAGTCACCAGGCATAGACATAACAGCCTTCATTGGTAAGTTCGCCAACGACGTCGCCGTCCTAGAGGTCCCTTTTGAAATAAGCGATGTCTTCCATCAACGAGTTCGAAGTGTTCGGTATTTCTCCTATTGTCAACGGTAGAGAATCAAAATATTGTGTATTGAGTGAAGCGACAAAGCAATAGAATTTGTACAGTCGTTGTCTATTATTTTTTGCGGTTGACCGTGAATGAATAACTTACGAACCTCCACCAACGTGTTTGATATTGATGGTATGAGCTGAATCTTGTGTTGCCGTTTTGTAGTGGACAGTGTTGATGTTTTTATCGTTCAAAATATTGCAGGCAGTGTTGTATTCGCGACAGCACCGTTTGTTTGTTCGTTTTCTACCAGTTATTCTTCAAGCCATTCGTATGCAGGCATGCTTCAAAGGCACATAAGTTTTCATGTGTGGTTTAAATTACACTATGACTAAGTTTCAATTCAAATAGTTCGATGGTACATATTCGAATAGTGGGAACATGCACAAGGATAATATTTATTCCGTATTAGTTGTATTTCGGTATTATCATTGCTATCATTACAAAGGGCTTAGACAATATTGCTGTCCTCGTGAGAGGACCAATGAAACATATGTAGTTTAAAATGAAGAATCAGATTCTTATCAATGCCATCGTTTATCCCATCTTGATTTTACCGTTATGTTTTGGTTCCAAGGCCGGAAAATATGAAACTCATAACCCATCCAGAATTTCGTGTTTGTGGTGGCTGTATGGTACCGTAGGAACGGTATGTTCAGGTTTCTTCAAACTTCATTTTTGTCCAACTCTTTTTTTTCTGTGCCTTCCTGTACCATACCAACGGTAGAAGATACCGTTACGTAAGCACATCACTAGCCCCTGCGATTCTAAACCTGTCTCTATAGAACGGCAGGAGAGCATGACTATAACGTATGGGAAACAGATTAGAGGTTGACTCTGCGGACCAAATACTATCCAATAAACGCAATCGATTCATACCGCTCGTCACAGCATGGGAAAATGCAGCGGTTTGAAGGGTGGTGGACACCATCGAAAGGCATTGGATGTAGCCGAAAGGAAACGTAAGGAAAAGGAAGATCGGAAGAAAGAGCAGGAATATGCTGGTCAACGCAGCATTATATTGCAAGAGATCTTGACAAAGTTGGATCCCAATTGCGATATCTATCTAGATGCTAATGATAACAAAACCAATATGTCAATACCCGAACTATGTCGATCGCATTTTCGATACGAAGATTGCTCGAATCGCCGCTGCAAGTTTTCTCACGAACATTCTATTGCAGAAGCGCTCGGAAATGTCGTCAGTGGTAGCAACGTGATGAATAACGATGACGGGGGTTGCCCCACCATTCCTGGTCTTCGGTTGGTTGCCGGAATTCTTGGAGATCGGGGGGTAGCAAGTCGTCGACGAAGAGACCAAGAAAACCGAAGTCGACGCAAACGAACCTCGCTTCCGGATGTTGATGATGGTGCAATCTATTCCCAATCGCATGGTGATTCACCATTTGAAAATGCGCTTTTAGAAGGATCTTCCTTCACGAATACGATTGTGACGTATCTGGAGTCGGACTTGGATGTCTTGCACCTTGCGCTGAGCTGCCGACATTTCCACAATATGGTGTTGATTGGTGACGGAAATGGAGAGGGCTGCAAGGATGTCCAGCGGCGAAAACATCGGGCGAAAGAAAGAAGGCTCTTAGAGCGTAACAGAGCATTGCTACAATCTAAAGCTGTGGCGGGACGGCTCCGATATGCTGTCAGCTATGTCGAGACCAATATCAATGCCAACAGTCATCCGAAAGTAAAAAACAAAAGAAAGAACAAAAGGAACAATAGCAGCAGTAGCAGCGTCGGCAGTCTTCGGCCGATATTAGTGTATGACTACGAAAATCCACACGTATTTCGAGCTTTTCGAGAATCTGGCATCAAGCCAAATGCTGAAAGCTTGCCTTCTACCTTTTCCAGCAACTGCAAAATTGTGAGATAAATTTCGAGACTACAACAAGATATTGAAAGACGAAACTCTTGAGATGAAAGGAGAAGACATCAATGGTAAATAAAATATTCAAATTTGTACACTGTTCGAGATCCAAATCATTCATCACCATTATCACAAGTAAATTTTTGTTGTTCATTATCCTATGAATACCTCTTTTATGTAAAATAGAGCTATTGTGGCAACTTTTAATCTTATGTGGGCATCTTGAATACTAGCTTACATTGATTAGCCATGCAGAGGTCCTGACCATTCCATACTTTGGGGTATCAAAGAATTGGAATCAGTGCTACTAGTACTGTGCCATCAAACTTATCACAACAAGTGCTGTCTGGTGTATTATGAAGTACTAGTAATACTGAACACTCATAATACTACTGGTAACTGCACTTTCAATTTATAGGTGAACAGTGAATGTCATCTAGTATTTCTCCTACAATGAAATTCATACTGTAAGAAATACTCTGTAATTTCAAACAAGAAGAACAACAAATGCAGATACTTGCTCCTTCCTACTACTACTACTAGCTAGTACCACAACAAGAATGAATTTTGTGTTGTACTGTACTACTAGTAGGCAGTATCTCTACAACCTGGAGGGCTTGGATGAAAAAATGGAAGCATTACCACAAGCAGTGCTACTAGTAGTTGTTGTGGCAAACTAAAGTACTAGATTGTTCTTCAACTATTGAATTATTATGCTTGCTGTATGCAACGGATGCGTACGTACGTACTGTATCGGAAGTATACGTACGGTACGTCCGAAGCTCCGAAGAAAGGAATGAAGGATCATACCATTCCTACGTATCTATAGTAAGGTAAGCTTCCTATGTATGTATCATAGGAAGCATCATAAGAGGTCCGAGGATCGTAAGAGGTCCACGATATCAGAAATAGAATACCTCGCACGGAACAAAGATGTCAGCAGATCAGAATAATAAGAACCCTGTGTAGATTTAGTACCGAGAGCTACACAGGATCTAATCAGATCTACTGAAAGCTCAAGTCCGAGCGCGAGAATCTTAATCTTATAATTTCAATTTTCTTAACACCTACTAAGAGTACACGTAATCTCGTGCACAGTAATTACTAAGTGATTTTCGTGTATATCTCGTGCACAGTAATTACTAAGTGATTTTCGTGTATCGAAATAATCAACCCTTAAGAAAAACAACCAAAAATCACATCGACCATGGTGAAACCAAATAGGAACTCCACCAAACAACATTCA